AATATAGAATGTGCAAAACACTGCATAACATGGATGAACTTGGAGGACATTATGCTGAGTGAAATGTCAATCACAGAAGGACAAGTATTGTATTAGTCCGTTATTGTAAAAGTCAAGGAAAGTTTTATCTAAGGAAGGAAATTTTCTTTGTTGGTTACCAGGGGTGGGAGGGGAGGGGAGGGGAGGGAGCACTATTAAATAGGCAGAGATAAGTATTGATTTGGGTGAAGAGAAGGGCAATGTACCAAATGTGAGTGATCAACATGGTGGCATTGAGGAAGAGGAAGACAGGGAGAGGTACATGGGAGGTACAGACAACAAAGATGAACCCTTTTGCACGTACAGTACTGCATTGTCAGTGAAGGCAAGCATGGGTGTACAGATGGATAGATAGGTGGACAGGCTGAACTATTAGGTATGTCTCTGAAGTGGGGCGTATACCCAAGACCATGTATATGGTTGGCAGACAATGGTCCTATAAGTTTATTTGTATGATCTGAATTCCCAGGTGTATAGTAGAACTGACAAGGGACAAGGTTGTAGTTACTTCTTGGTCACAGCCAGCTGCCCAGAGGGACCTAGTAGTTGAACCTGTGTGCTCAGGACCATAGTCACAGGGGACATCAAGCTCAGTTGGCATAACATACTACATAAAACATTGTTCCACCTCTTACTTTGGCGAGTAGCGACTGGGATCTTAAAAGCTTGCAAGCAGCCGTGTAGATGCAACAATGGGTCTCTCCTCATCCAGAGCAAAGAAGAATGAAGAGACCTAAAGACTCATGGAAACAATTAGTCCTAGCGACTGATACACCATGTGATCTGCAGCCTATACGACTATGAGAGCAGAAGAACCAGATGGTGCCCTGCTACCACTGTCATCTACTCAGAGGGGGACTATGTAGAGATCCTGGACAGAGAGGGAGAACAATGTGGGACAAAAGTTAAAATCATTTGGGGGAAAAAATAGGGGGGAGCAGGTTTGCTGATCTGATAGAGCCTGGTGGAACCACTGAGACTATGGCCCCTAGTTGCCCTTCAGGTCTGGAATTGAACCCACATCTGTGGCTTTCAGCCAAACAAAAGACAGGCATATGAGTTGAACATTTGCCTGAGGTAGATATAGTTCTTAGCAATCATGGGAGAAAGAAGGGCTGTGGATGCACAGGGAGACAGATCAGGGAGCAGGAGTGCATGGAGGGATGGATACAGGAAAGAAAGAGGTTTAACTATTGGGAAGAAGTGGGAGGGGAACTGTTGCAATGTGGTAAATTGTAGTCAATGTCATGAGACAAAGTGTATGTGAACTGCTGTATGGAAAATGAATTTGCTCTGTAAATTTTCACCCAAATCACTCACGCACGCACTCACACACACACACACACACACACACACACACAAGTATCAACTTGACTAGGCTATGATTCTCATATTATGTAATTATCCTCCATTTTGTGATGTGATGAAATTGTCAAATGTGTTGTAAATCTTCACCTCTGTTATATTAATGGGGAACTCTGGTGGTGTA